CCCCATCACCAGGAGGGAACCCACGACCACACAATCTACTTGTATACGAGTGATCATCAGGCATTAGGGAAGCTGCCTCACTGGCGGGCGAACCAACATAACAGGTGCTGGGCTCATTAACTCAGGCGCCCCAGCACAGCACGGACAACATATTGTATCATAAGGTACTACTGATAAAGACAAGACCCTCATTAAACCCTCACTAGACAGTGTCAAGTACCGCATTAAACGAGAACGGAACCCGTCAGAACCCAGCAGTCTAGCAATCAGTTCCCAGCAGAGCTTAACAGAGCCCAGCAGAGCCCAGCGTGGCTTAGTAGAGCCTCTAAGAGGCCAGAGAATACAAACAGAAACTGAAAGTGGCCACAGGATGCCAATATCTGCTTGATACCTTCTTGATGGGGTTCTGGGAGTTCTTCTACTCCCCAACCCGAGGCCAGGTTTGACTTGTGTGAGCTTGGTCCAACAGGCTGTTGCCTGGAGGGGCCCGCAGGCCCACATACCCAAAACAGCCCGGTTGGTCCGGCACTTCTTGAAGAAAACTATCTAGTTTTCTCTTGAAGATGTCCACGGTTGTTCCGGCAATATTTCTTATACTCTGATGTTTATACAGTGTTCTCTAATTGTGCCTATGGCACCTCTGCTCTTCGCTGGTTCTATTCTGCATTTTCTTCCATATCGTTCACTCCAGTACGTTGTTATTTTACTGTGTAGATTAGGGACCAGACCCTCCAGTATTTTCCACATTTATATTATTTCATATCGCTCTCTTCTCCTTTCTAGTGAGTACACTTGGAGAACAAGTCAGCGGGGCATAGCGTAACAGTCCCCATCGCAGATCAGCAGATAACAGAAAAAAAAGCAAGCAGTGGCTGACCAGCAGAGATCAGCGTGGCCGAGATGCTAGCAGGCAGGGGAGGAGGTGTGGGGGAAAGGGGGTGGAGGCGGCAGGTGTGGCCACACACACTCACCTGCTCCACTACACCTAACCTAGAACCGCCCCGCCCCGCTGGCCGCCAGGTGACACCGCCCGCCGTCCCCCCACCCACTTTCACTATCCCCGCCGCCCACACGTCCTCTCCTTGCCTAGTTTGGCCTCAGGGATTTTCCTGGGGAGATAGTTCCGTTTGGGTATGGCGCAGTGGTTGGTGGTGGTGGTGGTTTGAGGGAGTAGACAATGGTGGTGGTGGAGGCAGTGATGGTGGTGGTGGAGGGAGTGATGGTGGTGGTGGAGGCAGTGATGGTGGTGGTGGAGGCAGTGATGGTGGTGGTGGAGGCAGTGATGGTGGTGGTGGAGGCAGTGATGGTGGTGGTGGAGGCAGTGATGGTGGTGGTGGAGGCAGTGATAATACTTACATACCTTATCAGTATTTACCTATCAGTGACTACGAGGGGGTGAGGTCTAGCTCTGCATGCCCCGCCTACTGGCCTTGTTGTACCTGTTGCGTTACAATTGAAATATTCTGATGCTCAAGTTCTTTATTGAATCTGGCATTAGAGCTGTGGCTGGAGGTGGCTTCCACAACTTCTTTAAGTGCATTCCACTTGTTGACTGCCTGTTCAGGGGTATTTCCTCGCGCTCCTTTACCTCATTTGCATTTCCAGCTTCCTTCCATGTCCTCTTGTCCTGCTTTCTCTTAGGCTGAAGAGACTATCCTTGTCTACCTTATCTATTTCCCTCAATATCTTGTATGTTACGATCATATCCCCTCTGTTTCTTCTATCCTCTATGGTTCTAAGATTTAGTTCCATTAGCCTATTTTCGTAGCTCAAGCCTCTTAGCTCTGGCACCATCTTGTTACAAACCTTCGTATTTTTATATATTTTGGCTTTATGCTTCTCAAGGTGCGGGTTCCATGCCGGTGCTGCATATTCCAGTACTGGTCTAACAAATGTTGAGCAGATTGCCTGGAAGGTGTCTTGATTTAGACGCTCTAAATCTTTCTAAATGACGTTCTTATATTTGTCACCATCCCATACGCTGCTGATGTTATCCTGTTTATGTGTGTCTCCAGTGTTTGTGTTGGAGCTGTATCCCTTCCCAAATCTTTCTCTCTTTCTGATTCCTGTAGTTGCCTTCCCCTTATGGTGCTGAGGCCTTCTGGTCTCCTCTCTCCCCATCTGCATTACCTTACACTTGTTGGGATCGAATTCCAGCAACCATTTGTTTGATAGCTCTTGGAATTTGTCTAGGTCCTCCTGTAACTTCCTGCAGTCCTCCTCTGTTTTTACATTCCTCATCAGCTTTACGTCATCTGCAAACATGTATGAGTTTACTTCCTCAGACAGATCCTTCACGTGATTTGAAGAGGCGGAGATGGTGGAGGCATTGATAGTGATGGAAGGGCTGTGTCACTACTCTGTGCTCCTCTATAGCTGTGTGTCACCACTCTACGCTCCTCTATAGCAGTGTGTCACCACTCTGTGCTCCTCTATAGCTGTGTGTCACCACTCTACGCTCCTCTATAGCAGTGTGTCGCCACTCTGTGCTCCTCTATAGCTGTGTGTCACCACTCTGTGCTCCTCTATAGCTGTGTGTCACCACTCTGTGCTCCTCTATAGCTGTGTGTCACCACTCTGTGCTCCTCTATAGCTGTGTGTCGCCACTCTGTGCTCCTCTATAGCTGTGTGTCACCACTCTGTGCTCCTCTATAGCTGTGTGTCACCACTCTGTGCTCCTCTATAGCTGTGTGTCACCACTCTGTGCTCCTCTATAGCTGTGTGTCACCACTCTGTGCTCCTCTATAGCTGTGTGTCACCACTCTGTGCTCCTCTATACTGTCACCTCACACAATATGAGAGGTGTTACCCTCCTCTGGCTAACCCACCCGTGCACTCCCTCCCTCCCTCCCTCCCTCCATTAACCATACCCCCTCCCCATTACCCACTCCCTCCCTCCCCCATTCCATGAACCCTTCCCCTTTAACCCACACCCTCCCCTATTCTCCAATCCCTTCCCTATTACCTACTCTACTGTTACCCACTCCCTCCCTAAAACCCAGCATCCACTTTTGCTTTCCTTTTTTTTTGAGTAAAGAGGATGGAGAGGCATAGGTGAAGGGACGTTTAGAAATGGGAAATACAGTGAGAGTAATGGCAGCAGGCGGGCTGTCCGCCTCGCTGGCACGATGTGTGGGAGTTGGTAGCTAAGTTAAGCTGGCTCTCTCTCTCTCTCTCTCTCTCTCTCTCTCTCTCTCTCTCTCTCTCTCTCTCTCTCTCTCTCTCTCTCTCTCTCTCTCTCTCTCTCTAGTCAAGGAGCTGTGAGTGTGTGAGATTCTTTACGTGTGTTTCAGCCTATATGGGTGTCTGTAGATGAATACTGTGTAGCATTCATATATACACACTCCGATGCTTCCACACATGATGTGGTGGAAGCAGACGCCATACACAGTTTCAAATGTAGATATGATAGAGCCCAGTAGGCTCAAGAATCTGTACACCAGTTGATTGACCGTTGAGAGGCGGGACCAAAGAGTCAAAGCTCAACCCCCGCAGTGGGTACACATGTTATGTTGTTCTTTTTAAGGCTTATATATATATATATATATATATATATATATATATATATATATATAATATATATATAAATAATCACTTTTTTATGCAATTAATTTGGGGGGGGGGGGGTTCTGGTCTGAATTTCATTTGGGAATTATGTTCTGTGGGGCTGGATTTTCACTTAGTAAATCGAGGCTCTTGGGCCACCAGCTGTGAGAGCGGGGCGTTTCACCTAGCCTTTCTAACATTGGGTCCTCTAACATTTCAATTGTTTCCTTGGTTGGCTTTGCTAGTCCTGGTTGGCATATTATTTGGGTGACATCGTCAGCGTATGTGACGTATTCTCCATGTTGGGGTTGGGGTTGGTCAGCTGTATATATGTTGAATAGAGTGGGGGAGCAGCTGCCTTGTGGTACTCCACTTTTCAGTTCTTTTTTGTCACCCAAGTAGCTGCCGATATTAAGCCTAGCAGTTCTGTTGTCTATAAAGCTGCAGAGAGGAGCAGTAACTCTCTGTGGGAGTCCTAGCTCAGATATATTATATTTGAGGCCTGTGTCCCGCACTTTGTCCAAGGCTTTGTATCTAAGCACTATATCACCCTACCCCATCCTACGGGTGGTGACGGACCCCATACCCATCCTACGAGCGGTGGTGGACCCCATACCCATCCTACGGGTGGTGACGGACCCCATACCCATCATACGGGTGGTGACGGACCCCATACCCATCCTACGGGTGGTGACGGACCCCATACCCATCCTACGAGCGGTGACGGACCCCATACCCATCCTACGAGCGGTGACGGACCCAATACCAAACACGGGTGACTCGTATCTTCCCGTTTGAAAGCCGTATCAATAATTATATTACCGTTAAATCTGAAAACAAATTCATTGGCTGCAGAATGATGCTGTTCCTCTCTCTCGCTCTTGCCTCTTGGAGTTTATTTTGTGGCACTAAATACTTGGGTTTTTTAATGACCTTAAGACGGTACCGGCTGGTGGTGTGGTTGATGGCTGCTGGTGTGGTTGTTGGCTGGTGGTGTGGCATCTATCGACCCCCACCACAACCGTAAATCAGGCTTCAGGTGTGGCTCCCTCAGTCACTCCTCAAATACACATCTCCCAACGGCACAGGATTGAGCAGAATTGTCTTTGCCAAGTGATTTAATCCAAGAATTTGCCATCGGTTGGCACTGGCCGTTTAGCGGAACGAGATGGTCGATTTTAGATACCTAAAGCCCCACCTAAACTCCTACAGCACTATCTACACCGCTTCGTGTAGCATCTCCTGCTGCACCAGACTGCCTGCTGACGGAGACTGCCTGCTGACGGAGACTGCCTGCTGACGGAGACTGCCTGCTGACGAAGACTGCCTGCTGACGGAGACTGCCTGCTGACGGAGACTGCCTGCTGACGAAGACTGCCTGCTGACGGAGACTGCCTGCTGACGGAGACTGCCTGCTGACGGAGACTGCCTGCTGACGGAGACTGCCTGCTGACGAAGACTGCCTGCTGACGAAGACTGCCTGCTGACGGAGACTGCCTGCTGACGAAGACTGCCTGCTGACGAAGACTGCCTGCTGACGAAGACTGCCTGCCGACGAAGACTACCTGCCGACGAAGACTGCCTTCTGACGAAGACTGCCTGCTGACGAAGACTGCCTGCCGACGAAGACTGCCTGCCGACGGAGACTGCCTGCTGACGGAGACTGCCTGCTGACGAAGACTGCCTGCTGACGAAGACTGCCTGCTGACGAAGACTGCCTGCTGACGAAGACTGCCTGCTGACGAAGACTGCCTGCTGACGAAGACTGCCTGCTGACGAAGACTGCCTGCTGACGAAGACTGCCTGCCGACGAAGACTGCCTGCCGACGAAGACTGCCTGCTGACGAAGACTGCCTGCTGACGAAGACTGCCTGCTGACGAAGACTGCCTGCCGACGAAGACTGCCTGCTGACGAAGACTGCCTGCTGACGAAGACTGCCTGCTGACGGAGACTGCCTGCCGACGAAGACTGCCTGCTGACGAAGACTGCCTGCCGACGAAGACTGCCTGCTGACGAAGACTGCCTGCTGACGGAGACTACCTGCCGACGACTCTCCATGACGGTGCTGGCCCCAGGGCGCCGTGACCGTCATGGGAGCCTCAGATCACGGATACAAATAATTGGATCAAACGTTGAAGGTTTCCCAATTTAATGTTGTTATACCTCCGAATACTTTGCTGAGACGTATTGGGTGATGTGATGATAACTCTTCTCCCTCTCTCACCCCTACTCTCTCCCCCCCTCTCATCATCCCCTTCCTCTCCCACAAACCCCCTCCCTCTTCCTCTCTTTCTCGAACCCAAATCCTCCCTCTTCTTCTCTTCCCCTTTACTCTCTGATCCCCCCCCCTCTCTTCCTCCGCCTCTCTCCTCTCTCTTTACTTCAAGGTTTTGATATTCATTCTCTCACACGTCTGGCACCGCATGTGTGTGTGTATTTACTATTTGTATCTGCAGAATCGAGCTATTAGCTCTTGGACCCCGCCTTTCTAGCCAATCTATTTTTCCTCTTTTGTGCCAACTACATATATTTCTCTCTAACACACGCTCTCACACATATTGCCAGGAAGCAGTCCGTAGCAGCTAACTCCCAGGTACCTATTTACTGATAGGTGAACAGGTGCATCAGGGTCAGAGAAACTCTGCCCAGTTTTGTTTCCGCCGGCGCCGGGAAGCGAACCCGGGACCACATGAATACGTACCCAGCATGCTGTCCACTCAGCCACCAGCGCCCTGTGTGTGTGTGTGTATGTCACAAGGCATGTCGATTAAGGCAGTGTCTGGGATGCTCCCTGACGCAGGTTCGAATCCTCGTCACGGCCCTTGTGGATTTGTTCGTGTGTGTGTGTGTGTGTATGTGTGTGTGTGTGTGTATGTGTGTGTGTGTCTGTGTCCATTATTTACATTATTAACTACCATATATACATTTTTCCCTCTGTCGTCCATGGACATGATTAGAAATCTGTTCCACTATATATAATGTTTGGTATTTCAGCTTTCAGACCTTGGTGCATATATTAGGTCAGTAAGATTTCCATTTGATTGATTCAGTATTCTGTTGTGGCTACTAGTGAAACACCTACAGGCGTATTAATTGATGCTAATGACATGCTTCAGGCTGCTTTTGTGTGTCAACAATATCGTGCTTTGAGACGTCAACACGCGATGGTATCCAGAGGAATTTAATCTCGTCAACTTTGTTCAGCAACTAAAACATTAACACGTGTGTGTGTGTCACTGCTATGTGCCTTCAGTGCCAAGAGTTGCAGTAAATAATTCCAGTGCCTTGCAGTATATACCTGCAAGTATAACAAACATGCAGTATATCTACCTGCAAGCTGGTACTTTCCCAGTCATTGTTGTATGAACGAGATAGATATAATTAAAAAAAAAAATCGCCAAGCCATTACGACTGTATAGCACTGGGAAGGGGTCAGGATAAGGATTTGGGAAGGGACGGCGGAAAAGAATGGTGCCCACCACTTAGACGGTCGGGGATTGAACGCCGACCTGCACAAAGCGAGACCCCTTTCTCTACCGTCCAGCCCAAGTGGTTTGTGTATGAACGAGAGAAGATCCCTATATGCGCATGCTGGAACTCTTCCACCTATGTCTACAGAGCTGTCAGTGTAGCAGTGATAAACAGCGCCACCTGAGAGAAAGCATCACTGACAGCCTGAGTTCTCAGTGATACTGTACACTGTTCACCGCTTTAATGACATAGCGTGTACACTATGTTCCTTGAGTGACTTTACGAAATCTACCGAGAGGTCCCAGTTCTTCCGTGGATTAATTAATTTACCATTAATTGGATCGGTTCCATGTTTAACATGTTGATGGATTTTGCTACCTTTTTCAATCAAAATGTGATATCAAATTCACTTATCCTTCTATGCTACACCCCGGAGAGTCTAACATCAGAGGCAACGTAATCTGAAATTTCACACTGATGAGATCGACTTAGTAATTTCACACTGAAAGATATGCCGATGGACACATTTCCCCGGCTTATATTGAGCAGTACTCACCAGATTACTCAGCTCTAATACTGAGTACTTTCATGTACCCTCAACCTCCCGCCATGACTCGTGTAGCCTCGACATCCTCCTCGTCTAATTAACTTAATTGCTTTACTACCCTTAGACTGAAGAAGTTCCTTCTAGCATCTCTGTCACTTATTTATGTCTCCATATTCCATTTTTATGTTCCATTTTTATGTTCCATTGTATATGTTCATATGTTCAGAGATTGAGACGTAACTCTGAAGGGTACAGTGAGGGTTTACTGGTTCACAGGTTCGCACCTCAGGTGAAGGAGCCTGCTAGCGCTTACTGAGTGGTGCTTATAGGCCGTAACACACTCTTCTGGAGCAGCACTGCCCCGCTCCTGTGCCAGGTAAGACCACTACGGGCTCACCATAGCCCGTGCTACTTGCCCCGCTCCTGTGCCGGGTAAGTCCACTACGGGCTCACCATAGCCCGTGCTACTTGGAACTTTTTGTTCCCAGTAGCTGAATCTTAAGCAACAACGACATCTTATGGAGCTAGTGTGTCCCAGCACCTGAAGCTATCCAAAAGAACTTTTTCAGTGTCAGAGTAGTTAACAGGTGGAATGCATTAGGCAGTGATGTGGTGGAGGCTGACTCCATACACAGTTTCAAATGTAGATATGATAGAGCCCAGTAGGCTCAGGAACCTGTACACCAGTTGATTGACGGTTGAGAGGCGGGACCAAAGAGCCAGAGCTTAACCCCCGCAAGTACAACTAGGTGAGCAACGTCAAAACTACCCTGAACAACTTCACTCCTGGCCGAGAGGGGGCTAGGGGTGTGAAGGCCTGGTCGAGGACCGGGCCGCAGGGACGTTGAGCCCCGAAATCATGGCAAGATAGCCCAGTCTCCCGACGTACCGACGTAGGCCAGTCTCCCGACGTACCACACACAACCTGCCCCAACCAATCATTTATATCATCTGACCCACCCTTTGCCTCCCCACCCACCTCGCGACCCACCCTCTGCCTCCCTACCCACCTGGGGACCCACCCTCTGCCCCCACCCACCTCCCACCCACCTGGGGGACCCACCCTTTGCCTCCCCACCCACCTCGCGACCCACCCTCTGCCTCCCCACCCACCTCCCGACCCAGGCGTCACTGTCCGCCTCCGCCCACCGCCCGCCACCCATTACCATAGAGAGAGAGAGAGAGAGGAGCTCCACCCATCTCTCTTCTCCTCTACCACACCACTTCTTACGCCCTTCACCTGTGGTCCTGGTTCTCTATTTTTCACATGTTTTTCCGCATACTTCGATCAGTGTTCTTGTGATCCTTATTGCATATATATATATATATATATATATATATATATATATATATATATATATATATATATATATATATATATATATATATATATAACTATGACCCTATAGGAAAAGTATAATGAAAATGACTAGGATTTTTTAACATAAGTATGAATTATTAGTTAGTTAAAATATATGTTGCAAATGATATCCAATTACTTCAATATATATATTTTCATGGAAATATTTGGTTTGGTGGCCTCAGCTTCTCTTGTCATGTTGTCACTCGGGGCTAACATATCCGGAGATCCTGGTGACGTTTGGGACACCCTGTGGATATAATTGTTAACCACATGCAGGTCGGCGTTCAATCCCCGAGCGTGTCCAAGTGGTTGCGCACCATTCCTTTTCCCCCGATAGTTCCATTCCGTTCATTTGGACCATGGGAGCCTCGAACCCAGGACCAGACTACATGTCTTCCTAGACATTAGCGTGTTTACTGGGAGGTTGTAAATAGACACTATAACACTATCATCATGTCCTCTGCTGTTGCAAGTCCTACTGTATACTTAAGCAAGTCCTACTGTATACACTTCCCTCTGAGAGTTGTATTTTTGTCAATGGTGTAGTTCAGCTGTATCTTGAGGACTATACAGATCCTGTACTTCAGCTCCGGGTAACTTGGTAGCCTGGTAACTACTACAATCACCTTCTGTGGTTGATTGTTCAATAAATCCCTGAACTATATGTTTAACAAATCTCTCACCCTGTCCATGGGGGACAGAACAAAATATATGTGTTGGTTAGCATTGTAAATGTCTGGCCACGTCTGTGGTAGGAAAACCCCCCAGCACAGATCGCGTCCTATACTTGTTACTTTTGTTTATTCTATTGTTATAATGTGTGGTTGTGTTTTCTGCCTTTCAGTCTTGTAATTACCTTTAATTACCTCTTAATTACCTTTTTATTAGTAATTCGGTCTGCATCCTTGTATATAACTTTAGTGTTACTCATCTTAAATTGGCAGTTTTGCTTTTATACGGGAAGGGGGGGGGAGGAGAGCGGGTCCAGTTGTTCCCAAACCAGAGGACAAGGCGCGTACATTGAGTTAGTAACTCCTGCCTGATCACTTGGACGGGCTCTAGATAGGCTCGGTGTTGCTGTAATAAACTATATTGGTTGTCTTGTCTGTTCTTGTGTATTGTTTATGTTGTCTGGTACTAGTGGCGGTGGTGGCGGTGGTGGCGGTGGGGGGGGGGAGTAGACTAGGGGTTGACAGTGGTGGTAGGGAAGGTGGGGGATGGTAATGGTAGTGGGGGGTGGTACTGGTGGTGGGGGGTGGTACTGGTGGTGGGGGGTGGTACTGGTGGGGGGGGCAGCGTGACGGTACCAGGTATATATAACTTGTCACCAGAGCCACCACACTGCCCATCCCCGCCCTAACCAACACACACACACACACACACACACGAGACATTATGCATTTCACAAATAAATAAACACACTCATCAGGGGCGCCGGTGGCTGTGTGGACAGTAGGTTGGACACGTAATCCTGTGGCCCGGGTTCGATTCCCGGCGCCGGCGAGAAACAAAAATTGGGAAGAGTTTCATTCACCCTGATGCCCCTGTTACCCAGCAGTAAATAGGTACCTGTGAGTTAGACAGCTGTTACGGGCTGCGATCTAGGTGTGTGTGTGTGTTTGTGAAATAAAAACAGTAGTTAGTAACAGTTGATTGACAGTTGAGAGGCGGGCCGAAAGAACAGAGCTCAACCCCCGCAAACACAACTAGG